CCTGGGTGGCATAAACAGTTAGCACTCACCCACAGGTTAGTGATTCAAACCCACCGAGAGGCATCATGGCAGAAAGGTCTAGCCATCTGCTTTTGTAAAGGTTGCAGCCCCAAAATAAAAATAATAAAAGCCTATGGAGTTCAGTTCTATTCTGTAACACCTGGTTCAGAATCAACTTGATGGCAATGAGTTTGAGCAGGGGGGTGAGGGATTGGCTTGCATGATATCAAAAGATGGGAAACCAAGTGGGTGACCCCAAGAGTTTTTTGTTTGTGTGGTTGTTTGTTTTTAAGAGTAAGGTAGGGAGAGGGGGTGATGTAATCCCCCAATGCACTCTAATGATTAGGTTTTCATTAATTTAAGAAAATTCTCTCTTAAAATATGATGCCTTCAAAAGGACAATTCTCTAAAGTTAGATTTCAAGCATTAGTGGATAAAAGCTATGGAGATGCTGTTCCCTGAAAGGCGGAGCTGGTCGCTGATAGCATGCTAGAGGCCCTGGGGTCTTCTCCTGCGAGCTAAGCTGACCCTCCACATATGCTCACAAGGGCAGGTCCTTCTGGAGAGACCCATTGGAATCAGAAGTACTAACCACAAGCTTCACTGAGCTCACAACAGATAATAACAATAAAACATGTCTGAAATTCTTTCATTGTGCTTCCATGGTAAATACGGACCCTGTAATGCCAAAAATAGGACAGGTGAGCAGGCAAGCATGGGTCTCTGAGTTCTATTACTACTGCTTCACTGACTACACCTGTGCTTAGCAAGAACCCTGTACAACAGAGCAAAACAGTGCTTGGTTTCTACACCATCCTCACAACCGTTGCTATACTTGAGCCTATTCTTTATCAGTTACTGTGTCAAGCCATCTTTTTGAAGTCTTTCTCTTTGGACTGGTCCTTTACTTTACCAACAAGCCCCGGTGGTTTAGTGGTTACGTGTTGGGCTGCTAACCACAAGGTCAGCAGTTCAAAACCACCAGCTGCTCCGAGGGGAAAGGATGAGGCCGTCTACTCCCCAAAAGAGCCACAGTCTCTGAAACCCACGGGAGCAGTTCTACCTTGTCCTGCAGCGTCTCCATGGGTCAGAATCGACTCGAAGGCAGTGAGCCTGCTTTACCACGCTTGGTGTCATTTCCTGGGGGCATAGTGGCATACTCACTGGGTGCTTACCCACAAAGTCAGCAGGTCAAAACCCCCAGGTGCTCCATGGGAGAAAGATGAAGCTTTATACTCCTATAAAGATTTACAGTCTCAGAAACTCACTATTCAATAGGGTCATTATGAGTCAGAATCCACTTGATGGCACTAGGAAAAGAGAGAGATCTCTCCTAACAGCATATTAAAATTACATTGTGGCTTCTGTCAATCCCTGGTCCTATTAGTATTCTCCACCAACGAAAGGGTAGACAGTATTAACATGGATGGAGGGAAAGGCAATATACAATCAGCACAAATGATGAAGGCAAGAGAAGACTGTGGGAGAAGCACAAGAGTTAGAGGCAACAATGCTGAACATCATTGTTCATGCATTCACAGTCCTGCGATAATAGTAATAATAATAATAATAATACCCACAAATGATGGAACCCCTGGACTATGGCCCTTAGTCACCCTTCAGGCCTAGAACCGACCTCCCCCATGGCTCAACTTTTGGCCAAATATAGATTACCCTGAAAGGATTTCATTTTGCATGGCTCCACAATCAATGCTTATGGCAGTATCCAGAAATCAAATGATGTATGGCATTTGGCAAATCTGCTGCACAAGACCCCTTGAAAGGGCTAAAGAGCAAAGCTGTCACTTTGAGGTCTAAGGGGCACCTGACTCAAGCCCTGGGATTTTTAGTGGCCTCCTACGTGTGTGAAAGCAAGGCAGTGAATAAGAAGAACTGATACATTGGAATTATGGTGTTGGTGAAGAATGTTGAAAGTACTGTGTACTGCCAGAAAAACAAACAAGTCTATCTTGGAAAAAGAACAGCCAGAATCCTATATTTGAATTGTTAGATGGAAAACCAACAAAGAAGGCGGTGGGGTGGGGAGGTGAGAAACTATTCTAAAATTGATTGCGGTGGTGATGGTATATGATTGTTGATATGAGTGAACTATCGAATTGCATGATATGTAGATTAAGTGCCAATAAAACTGGGTTTTTTTTACGTTTTAAAAAAAAAAAGAGAGACCAAAAGTATACCCACTCCATTCGCCAGAGTTATTCCCATAAAATGCCTTCCTGCTCACTCCCCACCATTGAGAACGGCGGGTCTGGTTTCCCCGGGTTTGTCTCTCAGAGCAACAATGAATGACAATTAGAATACAAAGCCTTGTGCTTTGGGAGAGCCGACCTTTGATGACATAAAAATACTCCCAGAGAGACTGGCCATGTCCCTTCAGGCTCCACACTTCTCAGACCCTGAGCTTCGGACTGCTGAGCCCTGCCTGGGCTAGGCCCGTGTGCCCACATCTGCCAGGGCCGCAGCGGGGCAGAACCCAGCGCTTCTGTTTCCTCTGAGCCGGCAAAGTTTTCTCTCCACCCAGCCAAACCACACACTGAAAACTCAACCCTGTGCCTCCCTAAGATAGCATTCTACTTCGCCACCAGGAGAGTGCACAGAAAGCCAGGCTGTGGCTTGAAGGTTGATGCTTTTATTTCGCTGGTTTAGTCGCCGTCTGAAACGCAGGGGTGTTGGGCTGCCTGGCTTTGAAATAGCTCCCAGAGAACCCGGAATAGAGAATACAAGCTTTCTCCGCGTGAGTCCTATAGTCGGTGTGCCTTTGAAGAGCTTCTTGCAGACATCTTAAAGCATCTTTTCAGGGCACCACAGCTCATCTGACTTTTCATAAGCAAAAGCCCCTCCAGGCAGGGGAGGCGTCGGGGCCGCAGTTTCCACTCACGGCGTCTCAGCTTGCTGCAGGCAGCTCCTAGTAGCAGGCAGCTCCTAGTAAGGATTTCCATTCAGAAAACAGCCCTCCGTTACATGCGAACACACACACACACACACACACACACACACACACACTCATACACGCCGAGCAAAAAAATAAAACAACTAATCTGAACAGTATGTTCACTGCTTGCTTTCCTCCTGGAATACATGACGGGTTTGTAGGGAGGGCGGTAGAGGAAGGGAAGAACCACATTCAAAACCCAACCCCATACATTCCCCTCCACAGTGTCACTGCAGACACCAGATAAAAGCCAAGGAGGAGGCTGCAAACCACCCTCCATTTCCCCCAGAGCTGGGAGGGTGCGCCCAGGCATCATCACCGCCTCTCTTCTCACTGAAAACTCGCCGGTAAGCGCTTTCCTGTTGTTTTCCGCAAACCGACACATCTGCGGCTGATTTATTTACCAAACAGCAGTTTGACTAACAACCAGCTGGCCTAAAAAAGCAAAAGGACTCCTGACAGTTTGCAAAAAGCTCTATCTGCAGATTCATATTTTCGGTCCTGTCAAAAGTGTTTGGGGATCACAGAAGGCTCACTACAGCGACAGCACTAAAAGCCACAGAGAATGAGGACAGGGGGGTGGGGGTGGGGGCAAGGAAGCCCATTCGGTCATTATCTCAGCTTTTACCTAGATAATTACAGCCCATAACCTTGGATCTGAAGTGGTTGTGATCCAGATAGAGGCAAAGACCCTTTATGGAAAGAAAGCCATTTGTGGAGAAAACTAGCGGGAGAAAGTGGGACTCTGTAATGAAAATTGATAGTCGCCGCCTTCCCGTACAAGGTAGGAAAAATAATGATGCATGGTAATAGAGGTTTGGTTTTACTTGGGGATTTTTTTCTCTTTCAAAGATGAAAGCTTAGCATTTCTTTTGAAATCCCCTCCCTTTCCTTATTGTTGAAGCATTTGAAAACCTCGTCATCAACTGCCTGTTCAAATAATTGGTACCTGGGCTTTCCTAATGAGGGGCAAGCAGCTAAGTGTATGGAAGGAGCTGGGAAGGAAAGGTTCTGCCAGTGGACTGTTTCTTTTGTAATCAGGCAACTGGGAACACCAATTGCCTTGTGTCTAGTGGCTTCCCCTTTCCTCCAAATGAAAGCTAATGGATAGAAAAGGGCATAATGAAAAACAAATAAAGAATTTTCATCAGCAATTATTCTCTTATCTTGGCTCTTTTCACTTGGGACAAACTCATTTGCTTGAGAATCTACAAGCCTATTGCTAGCTTAATCCACTCATTTTTGGGTTTATTTTGTAAAAAGGCCCGGAGACCTTTCTCTGAGCCATAAATGACCTAGTCCAAGTAATTCTTCTGACTGAATAATTCTCGTGTTTGCACATCATCAAGTACTAAGCGGTTTTTTTAAGTTTTTCATGATTGTATGTCAGCTTTAAGTCATTTCATTTATCGAAGTACATTTTCTACTAATTGTCATCTTCCTGAGGTAGATGTTTAACCTAAGATTCCTTTTCAAATGCCACACCACTTTGGAGTAATTAATTTGGAAAGCAATTTGGCAATGTGCATAGGGCAATAGATTTCTCTTCTTTGACCCAGCAATCCCCTTTTTGTGAAAGTAATCTACAGAAGGAAATTTGACAGGCGGGAGGCTTTATGCTCAAAGAACAGTTAAGGAACTAATTATAGATCAAGTTTGCACTCATTAGAAAATCCTGATTTGGAAGACAAGCTTGTGTTATAGAGTGCTAGCCAGGTACGGCTTTTCATTCCTTCACTGGTGGGCATTCCCTCCCTGAGTCATAATCTAAAGGGAAAAAATACTTAAGTAAACACAGATGAAAATTGAAAATCTTCAAAATAAGGATAGTCATATTAGGCTAATGGTGAGCTTATGCATGATATTTCTCTCTGGCCTTCCTCATATTTTCTACAATACTATATTACCAATACAATTTTAAAACTTTATAAAATTGAAAACCCACCCCAATTTGCATACACACCACAAAAACATAAATCTTTCATCAGGTGGAACCATGGTCTGTGAGGTGACTTTAAGACATTCTTTGATTCGTAGCAATCCCACTGGAGAATTGAGAAACCCCAGCTCTGCGTGGGACTTGTTGCATAACCCGAGGCAGAGCAAACTCCGGGACCTCAGTTTGCCTTCCTTCAATCTCAGCCCGAGGAGGTAGGTTCCTTTCAACACTTCATTCTGGGAACTCTGCTTAGAAAGTCATTGTTCATTATGATATTTGTAATGGGTGCCTAGGGTACACCGTAGGCACTTGGTAAAAAAAAAAAAAGGAGAAATAGAAAGTTATCTGTGCTTTATTTCTTCATATGCATCAATTATCATATGCACTTCGGATCATTCCGTTGATAGTCAAACAAGGAAACGAAACAACAAAAATGCTCTTCGTTGTTTGAGAAAATGGTGTCAGCAGGAACAGGCATAAACTCTGTGATAGACTATGTCTGCTCTTTCCTTCAGTTAAGCATGTAGATTGGCAGCTGATTGATTAGAGGGTATTTGATTAATCATTAGCGGTGAAAGGAGTGATTGGAAGGCAGGGGCTGGTGCTGGGGCTTGGGCTGTGGAAAGCCAGCCTCCCCTGTGACACACACTAGCCCCGGGGAGAGACCAGTGTCTCCCTGGAGCTCCCATCCAGCCTTTGTCCACTGGCTGCTTGTTCTGCAAATAAATCAATTGTCCCACATAAACTGGCATGTGTGAAACTATCCGTGCCACAATCTCTATGGGACAAGTGCAGATAAAGACGTTGTTTGCAATCAAAGAATTTCTTAAATCTCATAGATAAGAGCATGTTGGAGCTCTTGAGTGGTTTAACGTTTGTTGTGTTCTGCTCTAAATGTTTACCACCACATGCAAGCAAAGCAGGAAAGACATTAGAAACGTTGGTTATTTGTTTGCTATTTTTCTTTCGGTTGTAGTTTATCATTAATTAAGAGAATCCATCTGCGGGTGTCACTTGCAGGCAAGCAAATATGACTTAACCCTTGGCTGAGGTGGTGGGAGGAGCCACAGGATTGTGGTGGAAGATTCTAGCCCTCGGTCAGCTCTGAATTGTGCTGCCTGAGGGTCAGAGTAAGTCTTCATGGTGATCTCAGCAATGTAACTGTGCAGTCGGCGTTCTGGCTTAAGTCCTCAATGCATGCAGTGGCAGGGTTGCAGATCTAGACATATGAATTGAGAATTGAATGGTGAGATGATACAACTGCGCTCAAAAGTCAAGCTAACTCAACGGGGATCAGGAACCGTCCCAATAGACTTATTATGCGTGGAGCTGTTCAAATGAAGGCTGAAGTAGAGGAAGAAAAGCAATAGAAAAAATAAAATTTAATTTAAAAAAAGAAAAGAAATAGAGTGCCTAGACAGATATTCAAGCAAAATTTAAGTCAGAGGAGCAAGTAGATGGTCTTGGAATTCCCATCACAGGAGGTCTTCTGGCTGCCAATCCCTCAATGATAAGCTTCCAAGCAGCAGCTTCGTCTGGCACCAGGTGGATAAAACCAAAAATTCATTTCATAATGTTTAGTGCAGAGTATTCAAAAAGAAAAGGTTATCAGCTCCTTTCAGGAATCATACAAAAGCCAATCAGATCTTCTATGTGCTGAAAATTACCTCCAACGTTACTTCAGAGTTAGGGAACAGTCGGTGCTTAAGAGGCCACCCTCACTTCTGACACCAAGGACAAGTTTGAGCACCCCCAAAGCCACCCTTAGACAAAAGTTCATTCTGCTGGCAGAATTCACTGAAAACTAGCATGCTTAAGGTTACAGAGAAAGAATACAGATTAAAATCAACCAAGGGAAGAGCTACATGGGGCAGATTCTATCCAAGAACTAAGCTTCTAGTTGTCATCGCCCAGTGGAGTCATGGGCAGCACTAGTTCCATGGAAACTATGATAATTTGCACAGACATTGGCAAAGAGGGAAGATCACCTGAGCCTTAATATTCAGAGTTTCTACTGGGGCTGAATCAAGGTGTTAGCTGGACCTTGCACTCCCTTGGAAAGTCCAGCTAACACCTCGAATCTCCAGCTACTCAGATTCAGAGCTGATACAGCACGGCCCAAAGCACACATTATAAGTCACAGTGTTAGATTGTCTGGACAAAGACGCTCTCCCCAGAAATCACTTCCCAGGAGATGAAGGCAAAGGCCAGACCCCTCCCTCTTTGGGTAAGGTTAATTCTTTACCACAGAGCTATGTTATTTATTAAAGAACAGGCTGCAGAGATACCAGGAGGATTAGGGAAGGGTGGGGGGATGAAGGGGGAATTAAGAAAAAATAAATAAAAAACAGGCTGCTGTCAGCTAGTCAGCCATCTACTACAATAACTGAATAAGTGGGGTAGCTTCCCTCCATGTCAAATGGCTTACATCATCACACACAGTAGGGGCCAATAGTCAAGAAAACATGATCACAGCATGGGCAATATAATCATCACAAAAGTACTTTAGAACCAGTAGGCAGGGTTAAGAGCATAGGATAAAGGCAGAATGGATATTGAAAAGGGAGGACTTCAGAGAGAAAGACTTAGAAAGGAGACATGTAGCGTGGCAGCTTAGAAAAGACAGACTGCGTGCCAAGTCAAGTAAGTAGGTGCCAGGTTGCATTTCCGTGAGAATCTGATTGTCAATAATGGCATGAAAAATAATTTTAATTTAAAGTTAGATCATTAAACCCGGAAGACATGTGTATAGATATGTCATCCTTAATTTCTCATGAAATTTTCTACTTAGTGACTTATAATGATAAAGCTTATTGCACTGGGAACAACTGATAATGGAACTTTCTCTTTAACTAACTATAACTAAAAGCTGGTAGATTTTCTTAGTAGGACGAACCATGCCATTACTTAAGGAGCCATTATTTAAGGTGGCATAGTAGAAGCCCTGGTGGCATAGTGGCTTACATTTTGGGTTGTTAACGGCAGGGTCATAAGGCGGCGATGAGCCAGCATGGACTCAATGGCCGTAAGCTTGGTTGGGTTTTGGTGACATCATAAGTTACCCTTGAGCTGCTACCTTCAAGGTCAGCAATTCAAACCCCCAGGGTACTCCTCAGAAGAAAGATGAAGCTGTCTACTTCTTTCAAGATTTAAAGTCCCGCAAAACTGAAAGGGGTAGTTCTACCATGTCCTACACGATCACTATGGGTCCAAGTGGACTGGTCAGCTGTGGATTGAGGCAATGATTGGACTATTTATCTATAAAGTGACTATTTTTTGTGCTTCAGCATATAAAATATGGGTATCCAATAAAAATAGGAAAACATTTATAGACATTATTTTATACAGCCATTTTTATTTGTCTAGTAAATTCATAATGTATAGTTAATAATATCAATTTGTAAAATAATGTTTAAATTATACTAGACACAGTATAGTTTAATGACTGAGATTGCATTTACTCTTTTGCTCACTGAATATTTATTGAGCACCTGTTATATTTCAAAAGGAGTCCTGGTGGTGTAGTGGTTACACCTTAGAATGCTAACTGCAGGGCAGCAGTTTGAAACCATCAAACACTTCATAGGAGAAAAATGGGGCCTTCCACTCCCATGAATAACTACAGTCTCAGAAACTCACAGGGGCAGGTCTACCCTGCCCTACTGAGTCACATTGAGTCATCATTGACTTGATGGCAGTGAGTATTATATTTCTGATACTCTGCTCTGTGCTTGAGATGCTACAAGGCTAAGTGAAGCAAAGTTCTTGTTCTTGAAGCTCTCGCAGTTTATTGTAGGACATGAACCTATTAACAAATTACTACATACTAACTGGCAGGGGAGATACCATAATCACGAAGGTGGTTTTCCCAGGGCGAGGCTTATCCATTGCACTCCGGATGTGCTGACCCCTGCCATTTCCCCAGATGGGGGAAACTTGACTGCATAATTTGTGGTAGTGGGAGACTGTGTTAATAAAATAATAATAAATAAAATAACTACTACAGAAAATTAAGCATGGATCAAGGAGAAAGGCCCTGCTGCTAAACACAACACAAGGATAGTTTGGGCTCTACCACTTTTGCTAATTTCCCAACCTCTCTTTAAAATGCACAAACACACACTCACATTCAAAACATTGCCATCAAGTCAATTACAAACAACAACAAAAGCCTCACTTCCATTGAGTGGATTCCAACTCAAATTGAATCGACAGGACAGAGTCAAACTGCCGCTGTGAATTTCCGAGAGAGATTAACTCTTTACAGAAATAGAAAGCCTGGTCTTAGCCTCTAAAAATAATATTTGCCAAGATTGTTGTGAGAATTAACTGTGAAAAGCCTGTAGAGGCGCTTGGCATTGTATTGTACTTAACAAGTACTCAGGAAATGTTAGCAGATACCTTAATGTGTTCAGTTCTACTTATGTAATTAGATGGGTTGGTATTTGCTACCTTTTAAATGTAGTTAGGGAACTGGTTTTAATGACATTCAACAAATGATGGGAAACCCATACAGCGTGTAGTAAATTTGTTTGATATGGATAATAATTTGGAGAAGAATCTAAACCTTTTTGCCCAGAAATGAGACCTGCTGTCTATCAAATGTCCTGATCTAATTAAGTGACTGAACACATTTAGCACATTTCTCAAGAATAGGGTAGCTTTCCTAGGCACTCAACATTCTTTTAACACCTTTAATAAGACAACTGAAAACAGGAACTAATGGCCATGATGATAATTAACAACCTAAATTCCCTTCTCAAATTCACCCTTGTCTTCTTAGACCAAACCAACAACAAAAAAAGGAAATTAGTTATGCCCATGGGCATGGGTGAGTTTTAAATCTAACTCAGTGAATAACAGTCTCCTGGATCTACAGCATTCAATAAATATTTCTTGAGCCCTACTATCTGAAGAAAGAATTGAAACAATTAGTGAAAAACAAGATTGAATGTTTTAACAAATTGATGCAGCACGGGAAGCTACAGTCTATGCCAAGCCATTTGCAAGACAACTAGCTGGCCAACCAATGGAAAGAGATCCATATTTGTGTCCAGTCCAAAGAAATGTGACCCAGTAGAATACAGAAATTATCATTAATCTCACATGCAAGTAAATTATTGCTGAAGATCATTCAAAAACAGTCGCTGTGATACCTAAATGAGGAGCAGGCAGAAATTCAAGGTAGATTCAGAAGAGCGCATGGAATGAG